TTCTGCAACTGTCTTCACGAATCGCAAACTTCTCTCTTGTTATTCTCTCTGTCGGGTATCGTCATGGGGCATGCCATATATAAAAACGCTTATCTTGATGAGACGAAAACACTCACCAAATTTGAGTGCGATCTGACTCAAGATGAGTGAAATACGAGTGTTCAAAGTTGCTACGCGTGACTGTGCGAACCAATCCCCTTTAATGGAGATTAGTGCAAGGAGGCCACACGTGATCAGCGTGCAACGTACCCTATTTTAATGTTTCACTCATAACTTTGTCATGGAACGTTCGTTTAAACCGAAACTTGACCCTTAGGGGTTTTCGACCGTGCCGGATCCAATGGCGGTAGTCTCAAGCTGTTTGACACACCGAAAATAGAGTTCTAGTTACAGGGTCTGTTACAAGGTGCTAAAGGCCAAATTTTTCGAAATTGTTTCTTTGTCTGGGCTACTTAGACATGTCGGATTACGATGAAACTTGGCAGGTGGCCTTGTGGAGTGCTTAGGAAGATTCTAACCCATTATGGGGCAATTCTGGGAATTCTACTGTATATAAGGGATTTATTGACGCGCTTTTATTTTTATTCCGCATTGGGGACCCAAGGTGCTGAAAAATGTCTTTCAAACAGGAGTGTCCTTGTGTTTTCACCTCAAACCTTCATCCGGAAAGCACTTTCAGCATGAGAAATCTTTATGATGGCTCCAAAATTAATTTCCAACCCCAATAATAAAATTTGAAACTAAAAAAATAATACGGATCTTGTGGATCTATGAACATTTATTTTTAGAGCAAAATGGATGGTCTAGATTTGTTGCAACATACACTATTTTTAGAATTTGAAATCCTAATTTTTTTGTACAATTATAATATTCAAGTTGAGATGATCGATTTAAGGTTTTGAACTCTTGAATTGTAATTTTTGATGAGTTATGAGGTGAGGCTTTACTTTTTTTTAATAGGGATACAACCCTTTCACACCATTTTCCTTCCCGATTTCACTTTGAAAATGCGTTTCAATATCTCCACCGCCCATTTTGGTGGACGATGAATTAACGAGCAACACTTATGGTGTGGTCCAGGCTTCAACCTTATATAAATGTTTCATTTGAGATCGATACTGGCCCTTAATAACGAGATTCTTTTATTTGACATCGAAACTGACACATAATTTGGAGTTTCTACTTGAACAAATAATGGAAAGGAAAGACTTTATATGATCCAAGATGCTTGCTTCTTCTATATATTTACCAAAACTCCGGCGAGCCCTTGTGAGTAACTTGGGCTTGCCAACCTAATTAGCCTGACTACATTGGGTCCTCCCATGATCTTAAAGAAAAATAAAAAATTTCAAAAAAAATAAATTTGTTTGTAATATATTTTTAATGTTTTCAATCATTTTGACAAAGATCAGATAGGTGTCCATGAATACTTATTTTCTTCATTTTCCTTTCTTTTTGAGTTATTTCTAAAATACCCTCGTTACAAATTGATTTTTTCAAAATCCATTTTTTCACTGCATGTTTGAACCTTGTTTTGATGTGTTTTGTTTAATTTTACTTTAAACTACTTTTCCTATTTTCTAGGGTTTTTGTATTGTTTTCCCTTTTCGGTTTCAATATGGAAAATCTCAAAAGAACATAATTTCATGCGGGCTGGACCGCATTTGTACAATACGCGGTCCAGAGGTATAAAGCATATATCTTAAAGATGGATGCAAATTGGTGGTCCATCTAAAAGCAATTGTAACTAACGGTCCAAATTTTTTCTTAATATAATTAATATTTATAGTTTTCAAATTTTATTTATTTTTTCATATTCATGATCTTCAGGTTGAATATTATATATTCTCTAAAAATTGGGATCAAATTGTATTTAAAAAATAGATTTATTGTCAAGCCGGCATTTCTACCGATGCGGGCTTGGCCACATGCTAACCGCATCCATCTCAAAAAGAAAAAATAAAAAAAATGCAAAAAGCAGGAAAGAAGAACAAATAAGAATAAAATACAAGCAAGTGCAAAAAAAAATTAAATAAATGGTATTTACCGTACACTCCCAATAAACATTCTAACTCCCTTGTTTTTTATTGCATCAATATGAAAATTAATACCTAAATAGTAACTATTGGAACAAATTTTCAATTAGATTATTAAATAAGAAAAAAAAACATCAAAGCTTTGATGAAACCCAGCTATTGACATACATACTCTTATCACCTGCGTTCAGGAAAGATGATAGCCCATTGACATACATACTCGGACTACATGCTCTAAAAAAAGATAGTACATGTCTTCGTGAAGTTGCATGAATAATAAAAGAAGAGAAAAAAACAAATAAAATAAAAGTGAATGTAGAATAACTAAAGGAAAATAGAAATAAACATATCTTTTTAGAGATAAAATAAACATAACTTTCATAATACAATGTGAATAATTATATTAATTTAGGGAAAATTACAAAAAAACACCCTAAATGGACTATCTATGCAACTTACCCCCACCCCAATCTTTTCTCTCACTTTTCCCCCCAAACAACGTTTCCTCGCAAATAACCCCCCCAACCCAAAAGTAGCATGAAATAAAACTAAACTACCCTCGTTTGTTTTCACACGGCATTCTCTCTCATGTTTTCACACATGCTCTGGCAGTACAAACATGTGCTCCAACATTCTGAATGTGCGCTTCAACAATGTAGGTCTGAGTCGCAACGCTACGGCATTATGAGAACTCGCTCTAGTAGTGCAAAGATGAGCTCCGGCATTCCGCTCCGGCAATGAGGTCTCTGTTGCCACAACGCTCTAACAATGGAGGACCGTGCTCCGGCAGTATAAACAAGTGCTTTGCCATTCTGAATGTGCGCTCTGGCAATGCATGTCTAAGCCACAATGCTCCGGCATTATGAGAACGCGCTCCGACAGTGCAAAGACGTGCTCCGACAGTACAAAGACGCGCTCCTGCAATACGCTACTTGAGACCCTGAATTGATTTGGTTTGTACGGGAAGGGCATTTCTGTAAAAAAAAAAAAATTTAGCTTGCGGGGTTTTTGCGATGAAAGGTTGTTTTAGGGAAAAAAGTGAGAGAAAAGATTGGGGTGGGGGTAAGATGCATAAATAGTCCATTTTAGGGTGTTTTTTTTATAATTTTTCCTTAATTTTAATATGATGGAGTTATAATAATACATTTCTTCAATTTTTTTTACAATTGTCAAGGTATAATAATAACAATTATTCATATACACATACTCATCACTCATCACGCCTATAATGCCAAAGTATCTCCAAAAATAAGGAAATTCACATATAATAGATATATCATCCCAATAACCTTTTGATCTTATAAATATCCAAACTCCCAAATTATACAAAGGAGACGTTTAACTCCCTCTTTACCATTTTTTTTCATTGTTCAAATTACAAAATTTACCTTTATTTTTTCTAATAACCTCACTATAAATATCAAATATGTGATACTACTTTTAACTTAGTGGTGAATTTCACGAGATGAGAGAGAGATAAGTATTCAGGAAAAGTTGCTAGAAAGCAAGGTTCATAGGTGAGAAAGGAATAGAAAGAGAATGATAATTTTTTTAGGATTTAAGTAATAGGATGACTAAAAATAATAATCTCATCATCATTATTTTAGCCTTTTCCCAATTAATTGAGATCGGCTACAAGAATCATGATATCTTCAGTGAGGTCATAAGTCTTATATCTTTTCAGACTACTTCCAACCGCATCCTTTTGGGTCTACCCCTTCCATTTTGAGTCATTCCACTTGAACTAATTCGCACCTCATAACAGGTATTGTACTTGTTTGACGCCACACATAACGCGCACTTAAGTTCACTTTATCTCATTTTATAGCCTATTGGTGCCACGCCTAAATTATCTCGAATAGATTCATTTCGAATTTCATCTCTTCTTATTTTATAACTCATCCATATCATTATCATCTACGTTACATTCATTCGATTCTATGAATATTTTTGTCCGCCCAACATTTCGCCCCATAGAGCAAAACTAGTATCACGATCACATAAAATTCCGGTTGCACATCTCTCTTTTGCCTAAAGAAAAAATAAAATAATTGCACATCTCTCCTTTGCC